AAGATTCTTGAAATACTTGATTTGACTCATTTTTTTCTTATTTCAAGAATCTTACCAAGTAAAATTTTCTTACTCCACTGGCAGACATTTTTGACTTAATTTGAGTCAAATTTTCAGGCTAACAAGACAAATAATCTGACACATTCTGAAAACCAGATTATTATTCTTACACAGTCAGTTCTTGTTTAGGAAATCAGTCTCAAAACAAGATCAAAAAGACTTTTTGGCTGAATATAAGATTTTAAAACTTGGTTAGGTGGATTTTTTTTACAGTGAAGGTGCACTCCATTTAAACGTGCACACRGGCTCAGGCTCTTCCTCGATGCATCGGCGAGGAAGGAACATATTTGCAATCCTCAGGCCCCTCAGATGAGTTTCCTCTCCCATCACACCGGCTGTGGTTGCCATAGATACAGCATGTTAAGATACTGGAAGCATGGGTTTCTCTCTGAGCGCGGCGGCGAAACTCGCCGTTAGGGGGAGTTTTATTGTGCTTCGGGCTTTATAGGGCTGATGGTCGTGTTCTGAATGTGTGACGGCTCAGTTCGTCTGGACCGGCACCCCGACTCCCTCTGTTCTGTCTGTAAAGAGAACAGCCAGGCTGAAACGGGCCGAGTCTATCACCTGGTGTCTCGGCCGCCGTCACTCGTCTCTCTGCCTCTGTCCTTGGGTGGGCATCAGCCTCACCCCTCCCACACTCAACACTGACTTATCTAGAACAGTGTTTCCCAAAGTTGGGGTCGGACCCAAAGTGGGGTCCCGAAACATCAAGGTGGGGTCCTGAGTTTTTCTGAATTAATTACATTTTTGCCTTAGTTGTTACAAAGGAAGTGAGGTTAGTATATTTAAAATGGATAATTATAGTATAAAAATTGTTACTATGTTCATGTTTAGTTGACCTGATACAAATGTTTATCATCCAAAAATAGTTGGACACAGGTCTCTGCTCCTGTTACTTTGTGGGTCAAAAACTAAAAAGTTTGGGAACCACTGCACTTTGGTTCCCAAAGTTGGACTTGGGACCCAATTATMGGTCATGAAGCACCTTGGATAATCRCCAGAAATCAATTTAAAGGGGCGGCTGTGGCGGAGTGGTTAGGGGAGTCGTCCTGGAACTAGAAGGTCACTGGTTCGATCCCCCGTCCAGCCGTCTCAGTCGTTGTGTCCTTGGGCAAGACACTT